AGAGGAGACTCTGGGGCCATTCCACATGGATCTGGAGACGTCAGACTAGCAAATGACAGACTCAAAACTGGGATTTCATAGCTCAGAAGTTGTTCATGAGGGAAATGTAGGCCATGGATAGAGGGGTACCTTCTGGCCTAGAGCAAAAATCTTCAGTGACTGTTTTAGGTACATAACAGCTTCCTGGAAATAATTATTACCCTCCTAGAGATCTGGACCAAAAGAAAAAAAAAACTTACTTTTCTTCCAAGTTTACTGAAAAGATCATGAAGAAAACCATCAGGTTCGATATTCCATTGCCAGTTTAAATCTTTTGGAGCATAACATGTATTTAACTTCTACAGCTAGGTATCCAGTGAAAGCTAGGACAGAGGATGAATTTCTCTCTCACTCACTTTTACTTGCCTCATACTATTGGGTCATTGGAAAAATAACAGCACATTTTTGCATAGAAAAACAAAAATATGTGATGGTTTTCCAACTATCCAATATTTCTAAAGATATTTAGTTAAATCTTAAGTGGATGAAATGTGAGAAGTTCTGCTAACAACAGAGCTTAGACTGGCTTGCTGATGCCAGGAATGGGGAGTGTGGACTCTGAAAACGTCTACTTCCTGCTGGCTGAGAACCTGTTTCCTTTTTAAGATTTTTGATATAAGGTGCATGCACTTGCCAAAGAGAGGGAGGTGGGGGAGTGGGAAATCATCCCCCAAGGAGAATGGCCATGCCTCAATCCTCCATTCTGTTCTTGGGAGTTGGAGCATGCATACACATGCACCAGGAGTGTTTTCTAAACTGCCAGTTTCCAGGATACAAAGTCGGTCATTGGTATCCAGCACCTTAACCACTGCAACACTTGCCCTGGCAATCCTATTTTCTCTTATGCATTAATCCAGGCCTTCTGGGATAAGGCACTGTTCAATAGCTCCTGACCATTTAAGTATGGAATATATAATTTAAATAGCTAAATAACTTAAAAGTAGAAAATGATTTTTTTTTTGTTGAGTCCATGACATGGTGGCTGTGGTAGCTGGATCCCACATGGCCATCAGTGTGATTTGAGTCCAAGACCAGTGGCTCAAGAGACACACTGCATGCATGTGTAAGCGTGCCCAAAATTCTAACAGGAGAGTGGAGGAGAAGGGATTGTGGCATGATCATCTCCCATGGAAGGTGCTTTCTCACCTTCCCTCCCTCTCTCCTACTGTGGCAAGTGAATTGACCTCTAGCAAAAATTTTTTTAGGGGAAAGGTTTTGCTACAGGGTGCGTGTGCTTGCCAGAAAGAGAGAGAGAGAGAGAGAGAGAGAAAGCGAGAAATCACCCCCCAGGGGGGATGGCCACACCGCAGTCCCTTCTCCTCCATTCTCCTCTCGGGATCTTGGGCATGCACACACGCCTGGCATGAGTTTAGGCCACTGGGTCTGGAACTTAAACCATAGGTTGACTAAGTGGGAGTCCAGTGACATAGCCATTATGCCATCTGCTGGTTCAGCAATTTTTTTTAAATAAAAATAATTTTCATTTAAGGTAAAAGCAAATAAATGGAAGACCAGCTGCAGCTGTGGAGTGGCTAGACATGACATTGAGCATCCCCTCCCCAAATGTCTGCAACAGCCCTTAATAGTCAGATTCTCACATCCCTGACCTTCTTTTAAAAAAAAATTATTTATTTATTATCATCAATTTTGGAGGGTTTTTTGTTTGTTTGTTTGTTTGTTTGTTTTTTGCTATAGAGTCCATATACTCGCCAGAAAGACAGAGACAGAGAGACAGAAAGCAAGAACTCACTCCCCAGGGGGGGATGGCCATGCGGCAATCCTTTCTCCTCCATTCTCTTCTTGGGATCTTGGGCATGCATGCACACGAGCCTGGCCTGAGTTTAAGCCTCCAGGTCTGGGACTCAAGCCATGATTGACTACATGGGAGTCCAGTGGCATAGCTATTACACCAACTGCAAGTCCCGGACCTTCTTGCTTCTAGCACTATGGCTATGGCCACCAGAGGTTTCAAGGATACCAAAAATCTTGAGGAGACTGGAGATTTCACAGAGAATTTAGATTCTCCTGACAGTGATAGACATAGATGACAGACTTTTTTTCTTTTAATTTTTAAAGATGTTTTTACCATAGGCACATGCACTTGCCAGAGAGAGACAGTGAGAGAGAAAACAAGAAATCACTCCCAGGGAGGACAGCCACGCCGAAATCCCTAGTTTAGGCAAATTGCTTTCTTATGTTCTATTGCTTTATAAAGTCACACCCCATATTTAGTCATCATTAAAATTCACTGATGTCCAGTTCCAAATTTTGAAAGTTCTACCACTGTAAAAGCATGGCAAGGGGGTGATGCACCTTAAATAAACTTCAAGAATGTGTTGCCCTGGCATCACTCACTGTGTAGCAAAAAAAACCACTAAATTCTGTTCTATTCAATAGTTCTGTATGAGAAGAGATGAATTTCACCTAGAAGTACTGCCATTCTATCACCAAGTCGGGAACAAAAACTTCTCATACTTTTGGCATTTTTTTGTTCCCTGGAAGGATTTCCCTGGTGGAAGTAGAAAGGACAGTGAATGACCCAAAGTGAATTGAACATCCTCTAAATGGGCTAACTGAGCACCCTGGAATCCTAAGCAGTCCAAGACCCAGAAACTGCAGAAACTGGAAGCAACAAACTGTTGTCAGTCATGTGAGTCCTTTTTTTTAAAAAAAAAAAAAAAAAAAAAAAAAAAAGAGAGAGAGGGTTTTTTGCTATAGGGCGCTTGCCAGAAAGAGAGAGAGAGAGACAGAAACCAAGAATTCACTCCCTGGGAGGATGGCCACGCCGCAATTCCTTCTCTTCCATTCTCCTCTGGGGATCTTGGGCATGCACAGTGAAACACTTACCCACAGTGAGTTTTAAGCCATCAGGTCCGGGACTCAAACCACAGTACGCCACATGGGATTCCAGCGCCTTAAGCACATGGGAGTTCAGTAACATAGCCATTATGCCAACTGCTGGTCCCAGTCATGTGAGTCTTCATTAAAGCATTGTAGCACAACTCCCTCCCCAGTCTAAAACTGGCTCTTCCAGAAAGAAGAACGGGAAGGTTGTGCTGTTTTCTGAAGGCCTAATACTCTAAACCACATCTAACAATATAGTCAGAGTATGGACTATAATTCTCCTTTGAAAATGAATGGCACTGGGATCAGCAGATAGTGTAATGGTTACGTGGCTGGGCTCCCATGTAATTTACCATGATTCAAGTCCTGGATCTGGCAACTTAAAATTCACACCAGGCACATGTGTGTATGTGCCCAAGATTCCGAGAGAAGAATAAAGATTGCAACATGGCCATCCCCTCTGGGAGGTGATTTCTCACTTTCTGTCTCTCTGTTTCTCCAGCAAGTGCACATGCCCTACAGCAAAAAATATCTTAAAAAAAAAAAAAAGAAAGAAAGAAAAAAGAAAATGAATGCCACTATTTTAAAGCATCTTGGGAAAAATCCCAGATATCTGCCCTGACATTTTAGTTCAAGAATGTGGAAGCCAGAGCCAGCAGGTTAGGTATGGTGATTAAGGTGTTGGATCTCACATGGCCAACTCCACAGTTAGAGTCCTGAACCCAGTGGCTTGAAATACATCCCAGGTGTACAGTTTTAAGGTGTATTTCATTTTGGGTAAATTCTCTTTATAAGACAAACTTTATATAGTGATCGAATATAAAAAATAATAATAAAAAAAGAAAGAAAGGAAGAAAAACAGGCCAGGAGGGTATGTATGCATGCCCTTGATCCTGAGTCCTCTCTGGAGGAGAAGGGATTGTGGTGTGGCCATCCCTTCTTGGGGGTGATTTCTTATTTTTTTCTGTCTCTGTGTCTCTCTCTGGCAAGTGTATGCACCCTATTGCAAAAATCTATTGAATAATAATAATAATAATGTGGAAGCCAAACTAATACGAAGGTACTCTCTCTTAAAAATCTAGATGAGGGAGCCAGCAGGTGGTGTGGTGGTTAAGGGTGCTGGACTCCCATATGGCTGACCATGGTTCAAGTCCTGGTCCTGGCAGCTTGCTTTCTCACTCTCTCTCACTCTGTCCCTCCTTGACCAAATTGAAAATAAATAAAGTTAAATATAATAATTTTTTAAAAATCTAGATGAGGGACCATCAGGTAGTATGGCGGTTAAGGGAACTGGACTCCCACATGACCAACTGTGGTTCAAGTCCCAAACCTGGAAGCTTGTTTTCTCACTTTCCCTGTCTCTGGCCAAATTTAAATCAATAAAGTTATATAAAATAATTCTTTAAAAAATTTAGATGAGAATTTTGGTTTCAGGCATTACATCAAGGCTTTTTAAAAACTTTAACCACCAGGGCCTGCAGGTGGCTGGTGTTTAAGGGTGCTGGACTCCCATGTAGCTCACTGTGGTTCGTTCGAGTCCTGGATCTGGCTGCTTGCTTTCTCACTCTCTCTCCTTCTCTCTCTTCTCACTCTGTTCCTCTCTGGTCAAATTAAAATAAATAAATTATGTTAAATAAATAAAGTTAAATAAAATTTTTTTTTGGAGAGGTTTTCACTATAGGGCGCATGCGCTCGCCAGACAGACAGAGACATAGAGACAGAAAGCGAGAAATCACCCCCCAGGGGGGATGGTCACGCCGCAATCCCTTCTGCTCTACTCTCCTCTCGGGATCTTGGGCACGAACGCACATGCGCCTGGCGTGAGTTTTAAGCCACCAGGTCCGGGACGCGAACTGCGGTCGACTACGTGGGAGTCCAGCGACACAGCCATTACGCTAACTGCTGGTTCCCAATAAAATATTTATTTAAAAAAAAAAAACTTTAACTACCTAGTATATGTTTTATGTTAAGTAGATTTTAAATGAGACCCTACATCTTAACAGATCAGGCGATCATTTCTACCTATCTTCATGAAGCATGGGTTTTTCAGTGATATTTGAGGTTAAACAGGTTCAAACTGTTTCACTCACAACACATAAACATATAAACTGCATGTATACATATAGGTTTATGCAGCTACATTTAGCCTTTCAGATTAGGTATTTAAGGCCACAAGCTCATTCCTGGCTCACCAGGAGTCAGAATAGCGACTTTTCTATAACAATACAACCATGGGGAGAAATGATATGTCATAAAATAGAAATCCTTCCACAAAGTTTAAGATTTGGGGTAGAAGAAGGAAAGACAAAACCCAAATTCCCAGGAAGTAGAAAATAATTCCACATTGGTCTTCTACTCTGTGAACCCTAAAATGAACTATAGGCCTCAAATTCATGTGCTGTGTCCAGGTTTATACCAAGACACTTCAGTGTGCTTCCAGCTGGCTCATCATCATCTTCCTGCTGTGCTCATAGGCCAAAAATAGTGCTCCATTGGCAGGGACGGCACGAATCATAGTAGCTTTCAGTCCAGAATATAAGGCTCCGATTCCTTCATTTCTCACAACACTTAAAAGGGTACTGATAAATCCTGCCTGTTTTCCATACATGGAAAGAACTTGAATTCTGGATTTAATGCAATCCACTGGGAACACCACAAGCCAGAGGCAAATTCCAGCAATTCCACCACTTACCATCAGAGGGACTGGGCCCAGTTCATCTTTTGATTGTCCAGATGCAAAAAATGATCGGCTCAGTTCATAGCCACCAAAGAAGAAGAAATAGCCCGGTACTTCCTGAAGCAGAGTGCTTGAGAGTCCGTAGTAGAAGCCCAAGGGGCCGTCCTTTCTAAGGACACTCGTCACGACGGACCAAATTGTTTTGTGGCTTTTTGCTATCTTCCCTGACATCTCCAGTTCGTGCATGGTCTGCAGACGGCACTTCACAAGCTCGGTGGGGCAAAGGACCAGGGCAGCAAACGCAGAGGCCAAGGACCCTGCCGTTGCAGTTTGCAGATCACTCAGCTTTGCCTGCTTGTCCACTCCGACCACTGCTCTGACAAACTGTTGGCAGAAGCCATAGCACATGAAGAGGACGGAGTTCTGGGAGACGTGGGCGATCAGGGCAGGGCCAGTCCCCTTGTACAAGCCTCGGAAACCCACTTGCGTGTAAGTCTTCAGGAAACAGTCAGTGAGGCCCTTGTACAGGCCGGGGAACGTCTGCATCTTCACCTTTATTGTATCGAAGGGTTGCCCGGTCAGTACACAAGCTGTACCGGCTGCCGCCCCCGCGGTGAGGTCGATGGCGGCTTGGATGCCAGAACCTGACTTCCTGTTCGCCCACTCCATCTGCTGGTCTCGGTGGCAGGCAACTCTTTGGAGCATAGGATCAATGTCTCACATCCCACCGCCAGTGGTGGGGCCCTGGACGTCCTGTGCAGCTTCTCCGCCTGCCTCAGCTCTTACTCCAGGCAGTGGAGGCGGTTCAACCCCACGCTCGGCCTCGGGCTGCCAGCGCCCCACCCTCCGCGAGCTGGGAAATAACCCCCGACCAAGACCCGCACGTGCTCCATAGTCACACCCGGGGCTGCCTCGCCATTTCTTGGCGTTTGTGGCCAGAGGCCATGGACGCCACTATTGGTGGAGGGAGAATTGCTTTCCTATTCTCGCCATTTCTTGGTGATTATGGCCAGAGGCCATGGACGCCACTATTGGTGGAGGGAGAATTGCCTTCCTATTCGATCAGATTTTTTTTTTTTTTTGGAGAGGTTTTTGCTACAGGGCACGTGCACTCGCCAGAAAGACACAGAGACAGAGAGACAGAAAGCGAGAAATCACCCCCCAGGGGGGGATCAATCTCTTCTCCTCCATTCTCTTCTCGGGATCTTGGGCACATACGCACAGGCACCCGGCATGAGTTTTAAGCCACAAGGTCCCGGACACTAACCGCCGTCAACTACGTGGGAGTCCAGCGACACAGCCATTACGCTAACTGCTGGTCCTGCGGCCAGATTTTTTTACTTAGCAAACAAAATAGGAGATGCTCTCAGTTGACCAAGCCTGAGAGTGAGAATATCTCCTGTTTTGTTTTGAATCAAGGGGTCTAAAAAAATGTAACTTTAAAATAGAAAACAGAAGGGCTTGATTCTGGCACAGAGGTAAACCAGGGGTATCTTAGAGGCAATTGTACACAAAAAGGACTGGAACCATGGAACCATGGTCGACCATGTGGGAGTATCCAGTGTCTTAACCACCATGCCACCAGCTGGTCCCAGGAATAGCATATTCTAATACTCATTATGGAAGCCTTATCAAATTATCTAGATATACATTCAGTATTTGAAGGGCTACCTTTTACATGTCTACTAATAATATCTGACTCATTTTTTAAAAACACACTGGATCTATCAAGACAATCAAGTCTTTTCCATTGTGTTCATTTATACATTTCTGAGAAACCAAATTAGTAATCATCTCAGGAATTAGACTTGGAACTTTTCTCTTTTTTTCGAGAGGTTTTCGCTATAGGGCGCGTACGCTCGCCAGACACAGAGAGAAACATAGAGACAGAAAGCAGGAAATCACCCCCCAGGGGGGATGGCCACACCGCAATCCCTTCTCTGCCATTCTCCTCTCGGGATCTTAGGCATGCACGCACACACACCTGGTTTGAGTTTTAAGCCACCAAGTCCGGGAAGCGAACCGTGGTCGACTACGTGGGAGTCCAGCGACATAGCCATTACGCTAACTGCTGGTTCCCCATTTATAATAGTCATTTTAAAAACTGATAAAAGCAACCTTATTTTTGGTTGAACATATATGAAAACCATGAATAAAATGTAGTTGAGTGCTGACTATTTTCAAGGCATTGTTAGGTATTATATCACTGCACTAAGTACTAAATAGATGGAAATTATTTATTTTTAAAGAAGTATTTATTTATTATTATTATTCAGTTTTACCAGAGAGAGAGAGAAAGCCCCCAGGTCTTTAATTTGAACCATGGTCTGAGATTCGAATTATGGTCAGCACCCCAACCATACCACTGCTTAGAATATTTACATAATATATTAAGTAGGCCTTGTTACAGTCACCTAATACATATTAGAATCTTCTGAAGCCTCTCAAAGGGTTAAGTCTAAACATTGAATGCCAAATGAAACAGCTATACATTATCCAGAGACTTAGAAATAGTCTGGACCATTATGTGTACTCCCACTATCATAGCTGAATAAACGTGAGAAAGCCCAAGGCATTCTGAGTCCAGCGACATGGAATATAGTCTGCATTACCATCTCATTATGGAGAGCGCCTCAAACACAAAATTGTTACTGTAAAGGTGTTAGTTACCTCAGTGGCACTGAAAAACTTTTACATTTTTTATCTTCCATATAAAAAAGTGGGTTAGGTGCTACATGTCTTAACCACCATGCCACCAGCTGGTCCCAGGAATAGCATATTCTAATACTCATTATGGAAGCCTTATCAAATTATCTAGATATACATTCAGTATTTGAAGGGCTACCTTTTACATGTCTACTAATAATATCTGACTCATTTTTTAAAAACACACTGGATCTATCAAGACAATCAAGTCTTTTCCATTGTGTTCATTTATACATTTCTGAGAAACCAAATTAGTAATCATCTCAGGAATTAGACTTGGAACTTTTCTCTTTTTTTCGAGAGGTTTTCGCTATAGGGCGCGTACGCTCGCCAGACACAGAGAGAAACATAGAGACAGAAAGCAGGAAATCACCCCCCAGGGGGGATGGCCACACCGCAATCCCTTCTCTGCCATTCTCCTCTCGGGATCTTAGGCATGCACGCACACACACCTGGTTTGAGTTTTAAGCCACCAAGTCCGGGAAGCGAACCGTGGTCGACTACGTGGGAGTCCAGCGACATAGCCATTACGCTAACTGCTGGTTCCCCATTTATAATAGTCATTTTAAAAACTGATAAAAGCAACCTTATTTTTGGTTGAACATATATGAAAACCATGAATAAAATGTAGTTGAGTGCTGACTATTTTCAAGGCATTGTTAGGTATTATATCACTGCACTAAGTACTAAATAGATGGAAATTATTTATTTTTAAAGAAGTATTTATTTATTATTATTATTCAGTTTTACCAGAGAGAGAGAGAAAGCCCCCAGGTCTTTAATTTGAACCATGGTCTGAGATTCGAATTATGGTCAGCACCCCAACCATACCACTGCTTAGAATATTTACATAATATATTAAGTAGGCCTTGTTACAGTCACCTAATACATATTAGAATCTTCTGAAGCCTCTCAAAGGGTTAAGTCTAAACATTGAATGCCAAATGAAACAGCTATACATTATCCAGAGACTTAGAAATAGTCTGGACCATTATGTGTACTCCCACTATCATAGCTGAATAAACGTGAGAAAGCCCAAGGCATTCTGAGTCCAGCGACATGGAATATAGTCTGCATTACCATCTCATTATGGAGAGCGCCTCAAACACAAAATTGTTACTGTAAAGGTGTTAGTTACCTCAGTGGCACTGAAAAACTTTTACATTTTTTATCTTCCATATAAAAAAGTGGGTTAGGTGCTACATTGCTATTTTATATCTTTTGGCTGTATGAACACTGGACCCCCCCCACCCCCGTGCTACAGTTCATACTGCGCACTCACTTCCTTTTTTTTTTTTTTTGGAGAGATTTTCGCTATAGGGCACGTGTGCTCGCCAGAAAGACAGAGAGACAGAAAGCGAGAAATCACCCCCCAGGGCGGATGTCCACACCACAGTCCCCTCTCCTCCATTCTCCTCTTGGGATCTTGGGCACACACGCACACATGCCCAGCGTGTTTAAGCCACTGGGTCCAGGACTCAAACCATGGTCAACTATATGGGAGTCCAGCGACATAGCCATTATGCTAACTGCTGGTCCCTCACTTCCTATCTTTAAGCACTGTTTTCTTCACCTTGTCTCTCTGATCAAGAATACACAGATGCTCCCAATTGACACCAACATCAAATATTGAATCTTGAACTTAGAGTTGAAGGCTCTTGGACCAGCAGGTGACATAGTGGTTAAGGCTCTGGATTCCACATGGCTCTGTGGAACAAGTCCCAGACTGGGTGTGTATGTGTGTACCCAAAGTCCTGACAGAATGGAGAAGGTATTGCAGCATGGCCATCCCCCAGGGGGTGATTTTTTACTTCCCCCCTCTCTCTCCAATGCACACACACACACACCCTATGGCAAAAATCTAAAAAAAAAAAAAAAAAAAAAAAAAAAAAAAAGTTGAAGTCTTTCCATCTTTCTACTGTACCTACTCTTAACTCTGCTTATCTTTTTAAATGGCCTCTATGCACATAGACTATATATTTGCGCAAAATAAATCACCCTCAAATTTAGTGGCATTTAAAACAGGTATGGGGACCAGCAGTTGGTGTAATGGCTATGTCACTGGACTCCCATGTAGTTGATCATGGTTCAAGTTGCTTCAGACCTGGTGGCTTAAACTCATGGCAGGCACGTGTGCATGTGTACCCAAGATCCCGAGAGGAGAATGGAGGAAAGGGATTGTGGTGTGGCCATCCCCCCAGAAAATGATTTCTTGCTTTCTGTCTCTCACTTTCTGGTGAGCGTATATGCCCTATACCAAAAACCTCTCAAAACAATAGGGTATGCACCAGTTTCTGTGGGCCTTAAATTCCAGAGCTTTCTCTCTGGATCTGAAGACCTGATTTTGAGGCCACTCTCACATTTTAGATCACACTGTATATTTTTACAGGTGCACTCCACTCTCACGTAGCAAAAACCTCAATACTGGGAACCAGCAGTTAGCGTAATGGTTATGTCGCTGGACTCTCACGTAGTCGACCACGGTTCGTGTCCTGGACCCGGTGGCTTAAAACTCACGCTGGGCATGTGTGCATGTGTACCCAAGATCCCGAGAGGAGAATGGAGGAGAAGGGATTGCGGCGTGACCATCCCCCCTGGGGGGTGATTTCTCGCTTTCTGTCCCTATGTCTCTCTCTGTCTGGCGAGCGCACGTGCCCTATAGCAAAAATCTCTCAAAAAAAAAACAAACCTCAATACTTATCTACTGCTGTATAATAAAGGACCCAAAGATAAAATGGTATAAAATAGTAACACTTACATGTCACATAGTTTCTATGGAACAGGAATGCAGGAACAGTTTTGCTGGGTATTTCTAACATGAAGGTGTGGCCCGAGTTGCAGTCAAGATAGCAGCTGTGGGGGCCCACAGGTGAAATGGTCGTTAAGGTACTGGACTCCTACATGGCCGATCATAGACCTGGTGGCTGCTTTCTCACTTTCCCTCTTTCTGGTCAAATTAAATAATAATAAATAAAATAACTCTTTTTACAAAAAAAAAAAATTGTCAGTCATCCGAAACCCTGACTAGGGCTGGAAAATCTGATTCCAAGATGGTTCACTCATACAAATGGCAAGTTCTCTATTGACAAAGCATCTGTCACCACTTGGACCTTTCTATAGGTCTGATGGAATGTCCCCACATTGCGGCTGACTGCCCCTATAATGAATGACCCAAGAGAGGGCAAGGCAGTTAGTTGGAGTGGCCAGATAGGATCATCAAAATAAGGTCTGAACTCAAGCTTCAAGGACAAAAAGCCCACTTGAGAGTATCTGGACACTTTCAGAAAGAAACAAAGTGCTAAAGCTCTGCAGTAGGCAAGAACTTGGCATCTGAAGTATGGAAAGGCAGCCAGAGTGGTGCCATGTAGTAGTCTTCCCAGCCTGTTTTCACTGAGAAGTCTTACTAGAGGCCATATGTGGCATCTTCAAAAAGTTCATAGAAAATGTATTTTGAAAAGACTGCATAGATTTCAAAGTTTTTGCAACAAAACTTTTAGTTTTTAAAAATATCCTTGTGTATACATGAATATTCATTGCAATTTTCTAATAGCAAAAAAATGAAACACCTAAGTGACCAATCAATAGGGGCATATATAAAATTAAGGACAAAATCCCTATCATGAAAAACAGACCTACATATGTTAAGGAATATTATCCATAAGTCTGAGTGAAGTTGCCTAAGTGTTTATACTTTTTGCCTCAAACTACATACATGTATTTCATTGTCCACCAAATGACCCATATCAAAACGTTAATAGTTTACCCTAGCAAATAGAAGAGGAATGACTTTAACATAAAACCTCTGCATTTAAATCTTCAGTCTTTTATTTGAGAATACTAATTTGAAAAACTTCCTTGAAACTTGTTCATGAACCCAGAAAGAGTAAAAACTGTAGTTTACACACTGATGGAGCTGTGAGAAAAGTGAATCTTTTATGGTAACGAGATTTACTTGAAAAGAAATGGACCCCAACCTTCAGTTGCCTCTTTAGTGTAATATAAAGTTAGTCTCCATTATGGAGTAATTTTATTTTACGTACATGGGCATACATGCTAGAGACAAAGAAGCCCCTTCAACAAGGTGGTAATAGCCTGGGTCAGCAGGTGGCATGGTGGTTAAGGTACTGGATCCCACTTGGCTGATCACACAGCCCAAGTCCCAGATCCAATGACTTTACAGAGTACACCAGAAGCATGTGCATGCATGCCTGAAATCCCAAGACTGGAGAGGGGATGTAGCATGGCTATCCTCCCAGGAGGTGGGGGTGGGTTCTCACTTTCCCTGTCTTTCTCCTGTGCTTTGCACTATGGCAAAAATTTAAAAATTCTTAAAAAGGCACACATAGACCTTCAACTACAAAAATAAAGCTCTATGTATGTTTCCCAATCTCTACACGGAGCAGATGGCCTGAAATCTTACTATAAAGAAGACATTTTCCAATTTATTTGCCCTCGCTGACCACAGTTCGGGTCCCGGAACTGGTGCCTTGCTTTCTCACTTTTGCACTCTCTCTGGTCAATCTAATAAAATAAAATAAAAGCCAACAGCTTTACCTGCAAAACAGGATCAAATTGCTCAAGTGATTAAATTCCACTAAGAAACCAACTCACAAGAGGAACTGACTCCCACTACCCATGAAAGAAAAAGAAACAGTATGGTGTGAAAATTAGTTGCTTTTATTTATTGTGTTAGAAACAACTTTACAAAATTATTTTCATCTCTACATGTAGGAAATTATTTGGAACAGGTGAAAAAATACTACTACGTGAAAAAACATGCTAACTTGCCTCACTACTTCTAGACTAGATTCTTCTTGTTCATTTCAGATGTCATCACAGAGCAGCACAGCAGCTTCTGGCAAATGGAGAAAAACAGCAAAGTCCTGTAGTGATGCTATAATTATTAAAGTTGAACTGTTCATTCCACTAATCTTACAACTTTCCTACAATCATTTTTCTGGCTATACAATCCTATTTCTCATAGAATGAATACCTAGCAAAGTGTTCTGAAAAACAAGTAAGATAACTCAATAGAACTTTCAGCATTAAAGAGAACAGGCACTACTGCAAGGTCTTAATATCCAGTCCAAATGATGAAACCAAGGTTTGCTGACCACTCTGAGGACTGAAATATTTAAGTATTGAAGCTCTCACTTCTCTAGGAGTGATTCTAGCTCTTCTTGCAAAGAGCTGAGCTGCTCCTTTTCTCGGTCTTCCTTTTGTTTGAGCTCATCTAGCGCAGCCTGGAACCTGTTCTTAAGAGCCAGGTTTTCTACTTTCTTGATGAGATCCTCCTGTCGTTTGGCCCTGTCCTGGGTCTCTTGGAGCTTGCCTTTCATGTTGTCAATCTGTTTCTTAATTCCCACAACCAGCTGGTTGTTTCTTTCATTTTCTTGGTGCTGTTCATCTGATTCATTTAGCTTCTCCCGTAGCTGTCTCTCCAGATCTTCCTCAGTGTCAATGATGTTTATATCTTCTTCATCTTGATGCTGTGTCTCATCTTCATCTTCACTGCTACTGCTGAGGTCATTGAATATCTCTCGAAGCTCATCATGTTCTAAGGAGTCATGGCCCTGCCTATGACCAGCCATTCCAGGAGAAGAGATATCAAGGCCCTGATTTTCTGTTTCTTTTGTTTCATCTTCAGCAATTATTTCCCAACGAGCAATGACAGCCTCCGCATCTGTACTCAACAGCCGTTTCACTTCTTTTTCCACATCTGGAGATTCAATATACTTCTTTTTGGCTGTCTTCCGGAACCTTCTCTTTCTCACATTTTTTAGAGGCAGAGTAATTCCATGGTTCCAGATAAACTTTTTCTCTTTGTCCTTGTCCTTCTTCTTGCTTGCTTTGGGATCAGCAGAAGCAACAGGCTCTTCCACAGGGGGATAGAGATCACCATCAACTGTGGCTACAAGCATCTGACAGATATCAGCTGTCTTGTAAAAGGTCTTCTTATCAACAGTTTTCAAGCTTTCCATAACACAGGGCAGATCTACCAACTTTGAGGCCAAAGGGACCCGGTCAACTCTGACGATTCCATGACGCCCATCAGGGTGTAACTCAATGGTCAGTCTGTCCTTCATGTTGACATGACCAGACTGTACTGCCCTCCTCACAGTAGCAGCATATTCTGGAGGCAGACGTAAGATAAACTGGCTCTCTAGTTCATGAGGTGCATCGTCTTTGCTCTTACTCATCTTTATTTCTTTGAAACTTGCTTCTCTTCTAATCAACACTTGTTGCACTAAAAAGTTTCAGCTACTGCAACAATTAAGAAGAACAAGTTATTACTAATGGAAATCTATGATTACAAGGAGTTCTAAGTAGAACGGTAGACAAGCGTCTATTCGGTCTTAATTTTTAATTAAGCCCCAAGTCTTTTTCTCTGAGTATGCTGTGAGTGAATACCAGTCGTTACTAACACAATGGCTATTTTTTTTTTTTTGAGAGGTTTTTGGTACAGGGCGCTTGCGCTCGCCAGAAAGACAGAGATGGAGACAGAAAGCGAGAAATCAACCCCCAAGGGGGGATGGTCAATCCACGCCACAATCCCTTTTCCTCCATTCTCCTCTCTGGACCTTGCAAACGCACGCACACGCACCCGGCTTGAGCTTAAGCCACCAGGTACAGGACTCGAACCGCGACATGGGAGCGCAGCGACACAGCCATTACGCCAACTGCTGGTCCCCACAGCGGCTTATTCCAACAAAGCGGCTTCTTCGCAGATCTTAAGTTCCTTTACCTGTATTAACTATATTGGATGTAATGTCAAGTCCCCAGCTCTAGAGGCCGCTGTCGGACCAAGCCCAGGCAACCTAGCTAGCGAGCAGGAAAGCAAATGGCGGCTCCTGCGGAAAGACTTTCGCACAGAAATGCTCAGAAAACACTCCCAATCCACAAACTCTCCCGCGAAAAAGATATTTTAAAATTCTGGCTTAGTGAAGTCTTTTCGCATCGGGTACTTACAATTCAGTGACGAGTGTAAATTCAGTTTCTCCAGGACGGAGCGAACGGAAGTGGAAGCCTCTCGGAGCAACGTGGCGTGAAGCCGAGCGACTCTTTCACGTTTCCTTTTTCCTTCCTGCCGCTTGGCCAAGTGATCAGCTTCTGGTTACCACTGGAACGGTCTAGGATGAACAGCGCGAAGTCTCGCCGAGACCCGCCGCTTGGAGGACCAGGTGCCGCAGCTCCCAAACGCCGCAGCTCCTCACGCCTCGGTCTGAGCCGCAGATAAAGAACCGGAGGAAGTACTACGTCACTGGGAGGCGCGGCGCGGAGCCAGGAGGGAAGCAGCAGTGAGTGACGGCTCGCCCAGGCGGAAGTAGGAGCTGCTTCCGCGCGCGCAGGCGCAGTAGCTCAATTACGCTTGCCTGGCGCGATTCGTGTTCTCGCGAGAACTTCTCTGAGCGTTTAAGCCGGCGGTATTTTGTGAAGAGCAATTGGTTCGCACGGTTTAGAGATAATGGTTGGAGAAAGGCCCAGACCCGCCCCCTGTTGACTCAGCACTTTTACGGGATCTGAGTGGGGCGGTAAAGTTGCTGGGTTACCAGGTGGTTACCGAGATAAGGGCGTCCTTCTAAAAGGCGCTTTTGTTTCTAAAAATATGTCGGTTGTTCCCAATGTGGTGCCAATACAAGAATTTCTAACTAACAATATAATGGATTATTAAAGTACCCAAATCGGTGGAGTATAGATGACATGTTTCCCACTATATAATTCTAAGTCTGTATTTTGTTATCATGACAATGCTCGGAGGGGAACTGATTATCTCTGTATTGGAGAACTCCAAGGAACGGGTGATTTTTTTTTCTTAGTGTGCTTAACATAGATACAAATGAAACAAAGTGTTCTTCCGAGTCACAGGTTTATTTATGAATGAATAGTTTGATAACCAGATGGCTTGAATAAAGAAGCATATAATTGGGATAGTATTCCCTGTCTTTCACATGCCAGTGATTTTTAAATTACTTTGTTTTTGTTTTTTTTTTCACTCTGCCTCTACTGTTTTATTGTTTATAGCTTCTGTGGATAGACAGGTATTCATCCCTATGGATTTACAGCGTTTTTCACGTGACTAAATTTCCAATTATTTATGTTAATTTCAATTTATTTTTTTAATAGGATCCGTTTGGTAGAACATCAAAGCAATTTAGTGTTAAATGTGTATCCGCCAGAATATTATTAACTGTACCTAAATTTAAGAGAACTCTCTTAAAATTGGATTAGCATTTCCAAATTTCAATTAAATTTCTTTGTGTACTACTTTCCTTTTTTTTTAATTTTATTTACTCATTCTTTTTTTTTTTTTTTTTAATCTTGACCAGAGAGACACATACACGCATAGAGGAGAGAGAGAGAGAGAAAGTGAGAAAGGAAGCCACCAGGTCCAGGACTAGAACCGTGGTCAGCCATGTGGGAATATCCAGTGCCTTAACCACCATGCCACCTGCTGGCCCCATGTGTACTACTTTCTTATCTCAGATTAAAAGCTCCATGAGAGGAATCTTTTCTGCCTTGTTCATTATGTCTCAGTGCCTACTACCTACCTAGTGAAACAATTGATCAATCTAGAAAGAGCATGAATGTAACCTAATTCCTATAATTTGTGAGAGAAAATACATTTTACATCACTTTTTAAAAAACAATTACCTACTCAGTTTTATTTATTATTATTGTTGTTTTTTTTTTTTTAATTTGACCAGAAATAGAGAGGGAAAGTGAGAAAGCAAGCCACCAGATCCAGGACTTGAACTATGGTCACCCATATGAGAGTCCAGTGCCTTAACTGCCTTAACTGTTGCAGAAAACCAGCCCCTAAAGACTGGAAAGCAGCACTTGAAGAACATAGGAGGATTGTTCATTATGCCAGCCAGTGAGCCTGGAGGAGTTAACACTCAAAATCTCTGCCCTGACTGGGGGTTGGACAGTCTTTTATGGGGGATTTGGGGAACTGGAGGTCTTGGGGTGAGGATTGGGCTCAGATCCTACCCTACACCAGGTCAAAGGGAGGAATCAGAGAAGCAGGAAATCTTAATCTATTCAAGGTATCAATCCCTTCAGGGTACTAATCCATTCAAGGTACTAACCCACCCAAGGTTTTCAGATTACCCTGTAGCTCCAGGGAGGGGCAGTAAATTTGCTCAAGGGCAGAACCCTTAGCTATCAGCCCTGAGTTATTAGTCATAAGAATTTTTTTCTTTCCTTTTTTCTTTCTTTTAAATTTTTTGGAGAGGTTTTTTGCTATAGGTCGTGTGTGCTCATCAAAAAGACAAAGAAAGAGACAGTGAGAAATAACCCTCCAGGGGGATGGCCACACCACAATCCCTTCTTTATTCTCCTCTCAGGATCTTGGGCATGCACAAACATGCACCCCACATGAGTTTAAGCCACTGGGTCCAGGGCTCAAACCATAGTTGACTACATGGGAGTCCAGTGACATAGCTATTATGCCAATTGCTGGTCATTGGAATTTAACAGCTTATAATGGAGATGCTCCTCCAAGATCGAGTTGCTCTCCAAGATGGAGTCTTGCCTGCTTCTTAACTACCATGTTACTGCTGGCCCAACATTGTACATCTTGAGAGAATATTTAGCAGGGCCCGCAAGTGGTATGGTAGATAAGGGCACTGGATTCCCATGTGGCTGAACTCGGTTTGAGTTTCAGACCTGGTGGCTTGCTTTCTCATTTTCCTGCTCTCTGTCTTTCTCTGGTCAAACTGGAAAATACTAATAATAAGTAATCTTTTTTTTTTTAAAGCATGATCTTAAAAAAAATAAATAAAAGAGAGAGAGAGAGAGCAGTTAGTGGGTCAGCAAGTGGCATGGTGGTTTAAGGTGCTGAACTCCTAAGTGCCTGACCATGGTTCAAGTCCTGGACCTAGTGGTTTGCTCGCTCACTTTCCCTCTCTCTCTCTCTCTCACTCTGTCCCTCTCTGGTCAAATTATAAATAAATAAATAAATAAATAAATAAATAAATAAATAAATAAATAAAGTTAAATAAGATAATTCTTAAAAAAAGAATTTAGCATTCTTTCCTTCTCTCAGGACAATGCCAATTATTGTGAGGCAGGGAAGATATACTAGTAGTATGCGTGAATGTGGTTTCAGTAGTTAATGATGCTGTATCATAGGAGGAAATTAAAATTTCCAGTTTGTTATTTTGTGTTCATTTTAAAGGAAAAATTAAGCCCTTACTGACAACTGTGCATTCTCTTTGTTCTACAATGTCTTGAAGAATATTAACTAATTTCTTTATAATTTGTAGAATGATCTATTTCCCTTTTTTTTTTTTTAAGAACTATTGTATTTATTTATTTTAATTTGACCAGAGAAAGAGAGAGAAGGAAAGTGAGAAACCAAACCACCAGATCTGGGACTTAAACTGCAGTTGGCCATGTGGGAGTTCAGCACCCTTAACCACCATACCACCTGCCGGCACCTATTTTCTTTTTTTAAAAGATGTAATTGTTTCCATAGTTCCTTAATTATATGTGGTTTTACTTATCTTATAGTTAGAAGAGTTTATCATGCTAACCTCTCCATAGCGCTTTATTTAACCATATAAAATGTGACGTCATGTTTGTATGTGAAAATAGTCCAAATATTACTTTGCATTTTTATTCCCTATAAGGGTTTGGGGGTTTTTGCTTGTTTTGTTTTGGTTTTGCTTTTGGTTTTTTGTTGTTGTTGTTTTGTTTTGATTTTTGCCAGAGAGATTGGAACAAGGTACTCTTTGAGTATTCACATTGTCACGTAAGGATTCTCATTCATGGTAGATACCTGTTCGAACATAGATCTAATCACTGTCTCGAATGTTTACACTCATGTATGTGGCACAGAGAATTTTTATTCTGAGTGCGCTATTTGTAACCCAAAGGGATTTTGTGGCTGTCTCACCCATCAGATACGGTGTGGCTGTGGAGACGTGTCTGGAGTAAGATGGCATGGTGAAATGGTCCATTGGCAGTTGAGAGTAAAGACTCTCTTTAGAAAAAAAAAAAGGGTAAAGACTTTCTTTAGCCATCAGCATCAAATTGGGCATCCTCCCAAACAATATACAGTTTCTTATATAGATATACTGACTCAGAGGATATTTTTCTAGGATGTATTCATCACATCCACACACTTTTAAAATATACTTGCCCTGATATTCCAAAATGCAGAGTTTTAGCTGTTCAGAGGACAACAATGTACTCTGAATTTTCTTCCAGATTGCCTCAGCAATGACTTGTTCTGGAACACAGTCATGGTTAATTCTCAGAGCATCCTTTTGTTTGTCATTATTTGGAGGAACTGTTACTCAGAACACCACTATTATTTGCTCTTTATCTAGTTTATTATATATATGCTTTGGCAGTTCTGGTGAAGATTCTACATTTGGAGGATAGACATACATTGCCTACTATGAGGTGAATTGAGAGCCTTAAGATCCACAGCTTCATTACAAACATTCACAACATTTCTTGGGAAGTCCTGTATTTTCTGGATCTTTAACCATATCGAATTCACACATTGTGGATCTTTTCTCCACAGTTGACTACTAGTTCAGTTACTTTTTTAAAAAGAGCTGAAAAAGCTGAAGGTCGCGAAGTCTTCTTGTTTCATCAAAAAAATTCTAAGGACCAGCAGTTAGGGTATGTTGCTGAACACCCATGTAGTCGAACGCGGTTCAAGTCCCGGACCCGGTGGCTTGAACTCAGGCCGGCCGTGTGTGCGTGCGTGCCCAAGATCCCAAGAGGAGAATGGAGAAGGGATTGCAGCGTGGCCATCCCCCCTCGGGCGTGATTTCTCACTTTCTGTCTCTCTGTCTGTCTCTGTCTCTCTGGCAGCACACACGCCCTGTAGCAAAAAACCTCTCAAAAAAAAAAATTCTTCCCTGTTTCTTGGGTAACACAAAATGTAAGAAGGTTCATCTTGAAGAAGTTGATGGAGAGGGTATTTTCCTGTCTCTCTAAATAGTTCCGGCGTTATAGTTATCAATGTAGCTTCACGGAGGCATTCTAAAGTCACTATTTTTTTAAATTATTTTAGTTATTTATCCACTCGTTTATTTATTTATTTTTTAATTTGATCAGAGAGAGACACAGAGAGAGGGAAAGTGAGAAAGCAAGCCACCAGGTCCGGGACTCGAACCGTAGTGGGCCATGTGGGAGTGTCCAGCACCTAAACCACCACGCCACCTGCTGGCCCCCTAAGTCACTATTATTTCGTATGGTAGTAAACTTTCCACGAGGACTCTTGGGGGCATCAAGTGGATGCACCATGGCTCCCCTGATGACGGCCCCGGGGGCGTTGTT